CATTTTATTTTACGTCATTGGATTTATTTTGTTTATTTAATTCAATTTTAGGTTAGCTTAATTTGCTTTCGCTTTAATTGTACAAGTGCACCGATAAAACGTATATCTGGCAAACAAAATGACAAATTGTAGCCAATATTTTTTGCCTGTGGTCGTTGGAGTAGTTGTGTAACAAAACTGGTCAAATGTCATATTTATCAACTTTGATAAAAATGGCTTTAAACGTATTATTTCTTAAGCTATATAATCGAGCAGTTATATAAGTTCCCACTTCTACTTGACCTTTGACGTACGTCAAAGAGAACATAGACTTTTTACAAATATATATTTTTTGTTTGCTCTTCTTTTAATACCTGCATTTCTTTCTTTATTATGATTTTTTTGGACCAATCTTAAAAAAAAAACTACAGACATAAAACAAGAAAGTGTGCACTGTAATTTTAAAACAAATTGTCGTGATTTGCTCATGATGTTACATATCATCACCTGAAATGCAAACAGACGTAACAAACATCGTCGCTGAAATACAAAAAGTCGTAACTAATAAAGAATTCAAAATTCAGTTTTTGATTGATATGACGGATTTCATCGAATTTCAACTCCCACATCAATTATGGTATTGTTACGTCTTCTTGCATTTCAGGTGACGATATATTCCATTCAATCATTTCAAATGTGGCTCTTTGGGGAATTTATTTTAAGGAAAAATTTTAAAAACAGTAATTTTGTTTACTTGTTGGGAAATATTTTTTCATAGATATAAATATTGGATCCTTGCCTACAGGCCTCTGTGGTAAAACTCTCCCCTACGTCTCCCTTCTTTGCTATTTGAAGTTAAAGATTAAGCTCCCACAATAGGGAATTCCAGCAGAAATCTTCAACATTTAGCTATAAAGAGAATCGATACTGAATTTGTACAAAGCTATAGGTCCGACCTTGAATTAGGTAAGAATTACGTAACTATCTGAAACCCTCATCATTCGTGATTCCAATAATTCTAATGATTAAAAAAAACGGGGTGCTTTTAAAAAAAAAAACAATATTCTGATTCGATTCGGCTGGCAGCCAGGATCTTAAAAACAGAATCTTGTTCAAGGTTTTCATTTCTGGAAAATAATAATTTATTTTCCATATCCACCTATCTAGCTCGCTATATGCACAAATTTTTCAAACCAGTCGCAGAAGACTCATTAAAATGAATTACAAAAACTAAAATCGAAAAACGCTGATGACGTTACAAGTTCTTCAAATTCTGAAACTGCTAAAGGAATGAGAATGAAGAATTCTTTTAAAAAAAGCTTCAGAAAAACCTGACACATCTGGTTTGGTTTGTAAGCGCTGTTTAAACAACGATCTCGTCATTATGCTAGATTCTTCAAGTGAACATGAAAGTCAGGAGGATACATCCGACATTTGCAGCCCCGATGCAATTCTTATTACTTCTTATTAAATAAAATTTTCAATTTTTAAATTTAAGAGCTAAGTAAAATAAACATTATTAAAAATTACTAACTTTATAAAATTTTTATTTACCTAAATAACTTAGTTTACTTGCCTGGTTATTTCTCAAAAATACTTGACATCCGCATTCGCATTCGCATCCGCGGATGTTAGCTGTTAGACATCCGCATCCGCATTCGCAACCGCGGATGTCTAAAATTTCACATTCGCAACATCCCTAATATGTATATGTATGTATGTGTATATGTACATACATTGGTGTAAGTAGCTGTGTGCATATACACTGGTACGTACGTACCCTGTCAGAACCAAGTAGACAGCCTTACAACTAAAAACTGGATAATTAGTTAGCATTTGATTACTTTGGAACAAAAGCAGCAGAGAAACGGTTAGCTGTTTATATCGTGACTGTTTTGTAATTTTAACCATTAATTCCGAATTCTCTTAGCCAAAAGCCTTTAAAGATAGTTAGAATCAAGTGCGGAATCAAACATCGCCGTGTCATTACAACACACGCTTGTACTACTTACAAAAAAAAAATTTTTCAGTAATGTCCGTTACGTGGGGTATATACTCAAATCAGGACAGGTCTATAAATCATATACGTATGTATACTACTTAGTAATATATATGTACATAGAGTACTTATCCTGTGTTAACTTTACAAAGAAAAGTTCTGGTTTTTGTTTACGTGTTTGTCTGTTCTTAGGTTTTTCTTTCTTATTTTTTTAGGCGTACCTAACTTTTATCAAAATTGCTGTATATTACACATTTAATATTAAAACTTAATCATATCAAGTTTCCTCTCTTCCTTCTTTTTGTATGTAAGTTGGGTGTTTCAAAAAGAATAAGTGTGTTTCCCTTTCTCTGCCGCTGTCGTTGCCGCCCGGGTGCTTACCCCGGTTGATGACGTTGTTTTTGTGGTCGCCTTATGCGGTCCTGTTGCTGACGTGGCAACCGCTCCTATGGCGGGTTGCTGTTGCCGTTACCGCCCGGATGCTTACCCCGGTTGATGACGTCGCTGTTATGCGGTCTTTGTTGATGGTACCGCCCGGTTGCTTACCCCGGTTGATGACGTTGTTTTTGTGGCCGCCTTATGCTCCTATGGCGGGTTGCTGTTGCTGTTACCACCCGGGTGCCTACCCCGGTTGATGGACGTCGCTGTTATGCGGTCCTGCTGTTTGCTGCTATTGCTGAGGCGCTGTTGTTGTTGTCTGGGTGTTGCCGCTGTCTTTGCCGCACGGGTGCTTACTCCGGTTGATGCTAGTATGGCTGCTGCTGGGGCAGCCGTTGAGAAAACGAAGTGTAGCCTAAATCAGACCCGAGCACCTGGAAGGGAAACATTATTACGATTCAGAGCGACTCAGATCAGATCTCATGAAACATTCTTCAGTCAGAAACCCTCACAACAGTTGACGGGAAGCACCTAATCACGGGGCACCGAAATCGGCTCAACCGAACTGGGCATACATGCTTTATTTCGGTTTTGTCATATGCATTATCTCGGTTTTTTCCATATGCACAACTTCAGGGTGCTCCTAGTCACCCGTAAAACGACTTTGTGGTGTGGAGTGAAAGAAAAAGAGGTGCACAACATCCCGAAATCGGGGCACCAACACACCACACACCAACATGAGGCCAATACGAGCCTTCAAGCGTTTGCTGGGTTAACTTGTTGACTGCAAGGTGTATGTGTACGCTTTCCTGCTCCAAGTTACTCCATCCCAATAAAAGAAAGGCTGGAGCAGAAATCGTGCTCAAATGGGGGCAGAAGTAGGGTAAGTTGGAGCAAGGAGGCTCGCACGGAACACCACGTACAGTTCACTACCCCGCTTATGCTTATGAATATAAAGACGACTTACCTGGTTTGTGGCTGTTAAAGATGGTGCTGGTTGTCCTTCCGCGAGGTCGGTGGTGGTTGGTGGTGATAGGGATGCGTAGCAGGACCCCCGTTGGTCTTTATGATGGATGGTGGAGTGCCATTCACCACAGTGGAATTTTCCATTTCTTCTATCGCTTAAGGAGCGACTTAATTGTTCCCCCTTTTCGTTTGTTTTTCTTTCAAGGCAATTCACTTTTCAATTGTATCTCTTTTTTTGTCCTTATCGCGTTAAAAGCGATTTAAATCTTTTCCCTTCTTTTAGTTTTATATAAACGAAATTAACTTAAACTTTTCGTCACCTTTCACTTCCACACTACTTGCTGTCGATTCCAGAATGTCATGGCCGATTGCGGGGTTGCCAGCAGGTTTTATACTCTTGCACTGCGGAAAATTAGGTATTCCATTTGGAAGAATAACGGGCACTGCGTCATGTGGACTAGTCCCGTTACTCTTCCAACTGGAATTTGCCGCAGTGTAAGAGGGAATGTCAAAAAAGTATGTTCGAGACTGTCCGGGGTTACCATGACCCTGGTGAGTAGTCCAAAAGCTTTGTTCCCTTACTGGCCGTCTTCACAGGATACAATTTATTGTTGTTCAGCTATCTGTTTGTTTGCTAGATATAAGTTATATTAGGGCGATATTTGTGCAGGTTTTTATATCTTGACATCCGCGTTTGGCAAGTATTTTTACCGGACTTAACCGCTAAAAAACAATCTTTGAAAATCGATAGTTTACATCCAAGAACACAATACCAAATGATCCAACGGAATACAGCTCAACTTTTGCTTCTATGGGCCGTGCCAATTGATAGAATGGGGGAATCTTTGACGGATCAGCATACAAATTTGACATTTCTTGTGGTGATTACGGACGTCAGAATTTTTTCTAGCTCATGGGGCTAGGTAAAATTTGACCGCTTCTAAATGTGTATATACATAACCTTGTTGGTGATAGTAGAGCTAAAATCGAAATGGAAACCAATGAAAACCACAGAAAACGTACGTTACTTGCAAGTATAACTAGATGTAAATTTTGACAATTTCAGCAGCACGCACAATTAGAGCTTTCGCACATGCGTTTGTTACGTATGTTTTTTCACTGTAAATATTTTACTTTGCGTTTGACACGGCAAATCTCAATTTATTCGGACACCAGGCAGAAAAAGTTATAGATTGGCACTGGCCCTATATCAGAATAACGATAATGTTTCCGCCAGAATGTTTTAGTACAAAGGAAATCGTATCTGTCAAACTACCAAGTTACTGCAATAGATGCCAAGATATAAGCCGCGATATGTATTGTGCTTCACATTCCAAGAGATGTGTCAAGTTACAAATTCCATCCTGTGAAGACGGGCAGTTACAGACAATTGTCACAAGCCATCACTAGCCTCCGCTGGAAAGCGTTTATTAACAAACAAAAAACCAACAAAATAGTGAAAATCAGCGAAAGCTGTCCGCAAAGAGACACAGCTATCACAAAATGGCAGACCTTCCATGCTACCGGGTGCACTAGAGTAACCCATACCAATTTCTAAAAAACCTGGGTAACAGTTATTCGTCGCCACGTTATATTTTGTTCAGGCGACGATATGTATATAGTATTTATATATACATTTTTAAGAAATATTAAAGCTTATGCAACTCGTTTGCCTATTATCTTTATTTGCTATTTCTTCCGATTGTTTTTCGCCATTTCATAATTTATATCCATCTAAATCCATACATATGTATGTAAGTATATATACATATGTATGTGTACTTATGTATGCAATATGCTTGAAGTATTGAGATCTGTGTTTATTTTCACATATGTTCAGTTTAAGCACATGCCAGCCTTATTAAAAAAAATAAGTTATCGATATCCGCAAATTCAAAAGCTTATTCAAATTAATAATATGAAAATCACATCTACATATACAATTACAATTTTACTTAATCTTTTTAATAAATATTTTATGTTCCGAGTTGTCCATTGAATTCCGGTTTTTTCTCTTAGTTCCTCTTTAATATTTAGCTTCAAAGTATTTATATGGATTAGATTTAGTACCAACGGTTTAGTCATCACTGAAAAAAAAGAGAAAGGAGTTCCATTATTTACATGAAATTTCCATATGCAAGATATACGAGTACATATGTATACGTATATAAGCAAAAAATTACACCAACAAATTATACGCATAATGGCAGTATTAATTAAACCAAACACTTAATTTTGACGATATGCTCTCCACGTAGGGATGCAAACGATATATCGAGTAATTGCGCAATTTTTCTGGCGCTAGCTCAATAACGCCAGCGCTACCTGTGGTGTCAGCGCACTAACCCAGCGCAATAGCGCAGTGTACTGAATTGAAAACGGCGCCATCTGAGTGTCACCACAGTACCCATCGTCATACAGTGCAGTACACCATACAATGGTGTCATGTCTATTCTTTCTATAAGCGCTGAGCAACGCTTGTACCGCCAACTGAATCTAATTGCTAAGAATGTAGTAAATGCCACGATATCCTATCATTCTTCAGTAAAAGCTTTAAATTTACGTTCTCAACACTCAAAAGCAAAAACAAAGTACGTGTAAATTTTCAAAGAGTTAAGGCGAATTGTGTGTGTGCCTCCTATGTTGCTTGGTGTTAATGGCGCTGGCGCTTTCCATTTACTGGTGTTGGCACGGCAACTCCGGCTATGGTATTAACGCAATCGCGCCGCGCAGCGCAGTGTTACCCATGCCTAATATCGATGATTTTTCGGTAGATATTGATATTTTTATATCGATGTTTTGAAAACCGATATATCGACATCGACGATATTTGTTTTCGATACTACGATATTTATATTTTGACGAACTTTTAGTTTCCTATATGTAGATGCTTCTTTGATAACTTGTTAACCACGATCCAGAAAATAAAGGCCATTCGCGGACCGCTAACCCTCTCTTCGTCGATTTGACAACATCCACCTAATCGCTGACGTCATAAAATACTTTTGTTTACATTCCCTGTTGCCAACTTCATGCTTTTCGCACCAAATTTAGTGGGTATTCTAAACGCGACAATTTTTGAGTTTGGTGCTTGGCGCGTTTTTGGTGCTTTTGTTTTTAGTTTGAAGACACCAAATTAGAAAATCTTAAAAAAATTTATAGCAATCGTAAGTGTGATAAGCAACTTTACAAAAATTTAAACAAAATCATGGCACAGTGACAATCATAAGCGACAACAAAATATGTGGCAGCACCTTCAATCATGCCAGAAGAAATCAACCGTCGTGCAAGAAACAGTGATTTTTATTAATTTGAATCGGCATCCTTACAATAAAATTATGTATTCATATAAAGTCCATAAAATACACCAATAAAAATTGGGTACTTTTTCAAATTCAAAACTTGGCAATACTGCCTTTCGTTCGATGCTTTTTCTTTTTCTTGTCGAGTTCGTCTTGCTCTCTCATTCTGGTATATTTTGACGTCACGGCCAGTTGCTCTCAGCTCGATTGGCGCAATCTTGTATTCTATCATTCATGCTTGTTAACAACAAAATTGAATTCTTACTACACTACGGTGACCATAAATATGGATTCAAAATGAAGGACAATTTTTCAAAAATATGCCTACATATATTTACGTAATATGTAAATATCAAAAGAGTATTTATGATTCTAAATTCCTAATACATTTTAAACTTTACAAATTAATCACGTTTTCTTCATCGATATTAATCTTTTTTACATGAAAATTTATCAAAGTATAGTAAAACATATAATAATTACAATAGCTTACACGAAAAGTGAAAATCTTTAAAGGATTATTTTATAGGCAAATGTTGAGTCATTCAAAACGAAAACAATACCCTGCGCTCCATAGTATCTACATTTCTAATCCGATTTTCATTATCTTTGGCTCAAAGTTTACTGTAATGATATATCTTCCTTATCGAATTTTTAAAATAATGAAAAAAATAATCAAATGAAACTGCGTGTTTGATTGAAAATCTCACTTTTTTCGACTTTGAAGACAAAATGCAAATGGTCGCCTGTAGCACTAAGAATTTTCATTGAAGTCGCCACAAGTTATATATTTTGGCAAGAGGCACATCAGCTGTAAGTCGCTTACGTTGATTTGGAGATTTTTTCATGAGATATTGAAGAAAAGCTACGAATAGTACCAAAAAACACTTTTTTGAAAAAATCCGCAGCTGTCCTACCATACGTGCTATCACGGCTATAGTAAAATTAGAGCAGAAAGAGAGTATAATATCCTTACCTAAAGTATTCTTCATGTTTGTATAAAGACGTGGGGTGAAACCCGCCGGTAAAAGCTAGTTTGAAATAAAACTCAACTTGCCTACACACACTTTCAGTCCCGGATTGTATTACACAATTACTTATTAAATCAGGACGTATTGAAACGCTAACAATATTTATTAAAAATAAATCAAAAGAAGAAATACATACATTACACTGTAGGTCAATTTTAAGGTTTTGAAATATCACAGCTAAACGGCCAAACACGTAAACTTAATTTTGGCCTCTAGATTACGGTGGCGTTTTCAGAAAATCCGTATCACGTCAAAATTTTGAGATATTTAGGGGCGAAGTTTAAGAGTTCTGAAAGTGAATTTTTCGTCGTTTAAAACACTGTGCTCAGGTTTTGAATTTTTTTCTGGGCAAAGGTTTTGATAACTCATCTTACTTAACTGGGATCTTTTAAATTCAATGGCTTCCTCCGTTTTTCCAGATTGGCTCTAGTTTTCGAGATAACGGTGCTTGAAAATCTGCTTAAATTTTAGGTTTTTTGTTAATAATTACCTCACATTTGCGTGTGCTACTGTATTCTGATATTACCTTAGCTATTTCTGAAAATTCTCAAACTCATATTTTATGTCGTAATATTTTTTTATAATATTAGTTTATATACTATTTGGACCTAAATTTGGGTTCTCTTCAATCCCGTTTTGGCATATTTTGCTAGTTTCTATTGCTCGAATGATTTTTTAAATATCCTTTGCCTCCTGCGATCGACCAGCAAAAGTCCGCCAACATTGGATTCAATCGTTTTCCAGCGAATCGGTCCTCAAAACACATAATGGATTCGTGAAATCTCTCTCCTACCTCGCCGCTTTCTGTTGAAAGCTGTTGCTCGTAAAAGTCAAAGTGACTGTGTAGCATGTGGATTTTAAGCCACATGTGCACATCAAAGGCGTTAAAAGATTCCATCAAGTTCGCAATAAAAATGGCATATTCTGGTGAATGCTTTTTACACACAACGTGTTTAATTAAAGCCCGAACGGCATCCCATGCAACGGCTGCTGTGCCATCAAGAATTTCCAAGAAGCCTTGATCTTTCATTAATCTTCTGATGTCCGGCCCATTCAGCACACTTGAAATAAAAATTATAGGGTTCTTAAAGCAAGAGGGAGATATAATAAAATATATGAGCGAAAATCACTCAAATGGGCCACCCAAAATTGGACGGTCAAGATATTTTCGCACAAATCGCTTTATTCGGTTTACAACCACTTGAGAGATTTTCACTCATATACAATCAAAAAACTACCTTCAAGGATTTTTTAACGGAAAGTTTTGGAAAGGCATTATTTTTCAAATATAGGAATGCAGTTTAGTTGACTATAACCAAATGTTTGATGTAATTCTTATCAACGCCAAGTTTGATATGTAAATCGGGAAGCATGATTTTATTAAGCTCTATCAAGGGCTCGTGAACTATATTGAATTGACCAATCGATTGTTCCTTTCTTTTTGGCCAGTCACATTTGGTACAGTGATTGCATTTGGCTCTACTATCCCAATGACAGAACAAAAAAAAACAGTAATTAGTGTAGCCCGTTTGCATGCCTGATAGTAGTGAGAGAACTTTAAAATCACACTTTACGCGCCACCTGTGCTCTTCGTACTTGATGCAATCTAAGATTAATTGCATTGTTTCGTATGATTTCTTTATTCCAACCGCATACAAGATGGGAACGGGTTTCTTGCTACTATCGCGATAGAGCAAGACTGCTTTCAAACTTCGCTTTGATGCGTCAATAAAGAGACGCCATTGTTCGGGTTTATAGTCAGTAATTCCCATTTCATTCAGCAAACCTGCAACATCAATGCAATAAGCCTGAGTGCCATCTTCCGATAACTTGAAATATGGCATAAACGGATCTTGTCTATGTTTGTAGGCCGTTACTTTTACTCCTGGTGCTAAAACATTCACGCTTTTCAGTTCTGATGCCAAAATCATTGCGTTGTTATGGGGTTTAGGTGTTCTTGGGAAATGAAAGACGGTAAATTGTTTTCAATCGGAAAGTAATCAGATCCATCATCAAGTGGTAATGGCGTTGCCATAGACTGTTTGCAATCATAGACAGTTTCGAGTTCGAACGGATGATTTGGAACTTGTAATGCATCACTATGTGCAACAGGTAAATGAGCGCTCGGTACAACTTTGTAGACGACAAAAGACCGATCTATTGAATTAAATATTTATGAGTATATGTACGTACATATATATGCATATATCGATGGCTGAGTGGAAGTTCGACCTATCTCAGCTGCCGATTTAAAAACGCCCTATCTCAGCAAATTTTCAATGTATTTTGAGATAGGGCGTTCTTCAACAAAATTCTGAGATAGGATGTTTTTCAATAAAATTCTGAAATAGTGCGTTCTTCAATCAAATTCTGAAGTAGGGCGTTGTTGAAAAGTTTTCTGAGATAGGGCGTTTTCGAACTGGCTGCCGAGATAAGTAGATCTTCCACTCAGCCATCGATATACAAATGTTAAGTTTGTTTGTTCGGCGGACAAAAACTAAAAAAGTTCTGCACCATTGTTTTTTTTTTATTTGGACATCTGCTGCAGACTTTTCAAGGTTGGTTATACTTAGGCGTGGTACCTTCCAAACATACAGACACTTTTACCTATTTCATACACTCAGCGATTAAGGTGGGGGCAAACTATACATAATTTCATGGTTTTATTTAAATTTACTTACTTTTTCGATTGAAACCAAGTGTATTGTTGGTGCATGCATAACAGTTTTCAGCTCCGTGTTTTCCGGGATTTGT